AAAAGATGAAAGATGCTATGCAAAATGAGCAAATTACAAAACTACAATCCAAGACTGCGTGATTCTACTCATACGAAGAAACGAACGAGGTAGACACAGAAAGATGGTTGCCAAATGCTGCAGGGGAGGGAAAAGGAGAATTAATATTTCATGAGTGTTGAGTTTCAACTTTGCAAATTAAAGAAGTTTTAGAGATTGGTTGAACAAGAATATTATGTATTTAATGCGGTTGAACTGCACACTTGAAACTTGTTATGATTGTAAATTTAATGTTAGATGTAAGCATTAGCTGTGCAGAGTATAATTAATACAATAAAGGCACGAATCAAATATGTACCCTACCCAAGTTTCTATTAGGCTGTAGTAAATATATGCAATTTAAGAGCATGTAGTTTCATTTTAACTTACAATTTAAAAGTCATTGTGATTAACATATTGCAGAATGGAAAAGTGATCTATAAATCATTAGGCAAAAGTCTTAGGACATTATGTTGAACCTACCATTTTTTAGTAAAAAAGACCTACCTATGGACTTGTAATGACAGATGAAATCAAACTGAGAATTATTCTACACATCTTGATGTGACCATCCCAGTTGGTTCCTGGGTGAATTTCATTCTATTTTGTCTGACATCAAGATTTCTATGTACATGGTTCATTAGTGCTGGTAGGCATTTTGTTATGGCAATTTATTACACTTGCAGGTAACAGAAGCTTTCCTTTGAAGACTTGCTTTCTGACCTCCTCTTTCAACTCACAACACCTGCTGAATGGAGTGGCCTGCGCTTTTTTCTCTGTCCCCACACAGACACTGGAAGTTTTTTTGTGTGCAGAAGGAGAGCCGTGCTGAAAAGCTTTAGCAGGAAGGCTTTTGCAACAGCCTGTCTGTCGAACTGCATGGATCAACAATTTCTCAATTAGAAGAAGATACAGGAGAAGATAAAGTGTTCACTGACTGCAAAGCTTCAAGCAGCAGCTGAGGAAGATTCTGAGAACATCTGCTCGGAATCTATTTCTTTTTAGGTAAGCATTCCTTTTTACAACCAGCACACATAAAGCATGGAATTGGCTTACTCCACTTCCTTTTAACAAAGAAAAAGCTTGGATTCATTACTCCTGAGATGCAGATATGGAAAGGTTGGGGGGGCATGAAACATGCCCACTGGGGGCCCTCCAAACCTTTGGACTCCTCTCACAATAACATTTGTGTGCTACAATGGACCTGTTTTTAAGACCCTATCTAGCTTGATGGTGTAAAAAAAATAGCTGAAAAAAAGCACAACTCAATTCATGACAATTCTAGATTATTTTCTCCTGTCAAGTTTGTGTCTGAGCAAGAGTATTATTAATACAAAATTTCTTCTTTTAATTATTGAAATTGGTTCTTTGGGTACTTAATTCTCTTGCTTTGCTAATGTAATAATGCCTTTCACTTTAGGCAATAAAAGCAAACTATTTTCTCCATCTGTAGCTTTATTTTGTGTGTTCACGGCACCTGAAAATCACAGAGCTCCATTGCGTCTTTAATATGGAAGACTGTATGTCACTGACAGGCTTCCTAAGGCTCACCAATAAAGCCCAACATCAGTCATCAGTCATCAAAACCAATATGTGTGTATATATTATGTGCAGACGTGAATATTCCTGTGGGCACGTGAGTGTCATGTGCATGCATACATGTGTCTTTGGAGGCCAGGGGTCAATCTCAGCTGCACATTTCTAAGGAGCTGTCCACCACATTTTTTGAGACAAGGTCACTCATTGGAACCTGGAACTTCCAGATTAGGCTAGGCTGGCTGGCCTGGTTGGCCAACTGTCTCCACCTCCCCAGTGCTGGGATTACAAGCATGCACCACCATGTGTTTTTTATTTACAGGGGTGCTAAGGGTTGAGCTAAGGTCCTCATGCTTGCTCTGTGAGCACTTTCCCATTCATGTCATCTCTCCAGTCCCTGCCCACTTATTTTTAAGTTGTATGAATAGGCCGTGAAAGGGGAGTTGAATTCAAATCAGGGTTTTTCAGCTCATGGAAAAATTACTAATATTTAGGCATTTCATGTAATGATGTTGCTCATATGCCATTGTATTAAGATTATTATCTACACTAGAATAATTTGAAGTCAACCTCAGTTTATGAAATGTACACTAATCGTATTTAGTTTGTCACATCCAAAGTGAGTTCAACAATCATTTGCAATAAATATGCTTTCAGACTAATGCATGTGAAATAAAAAATTCAAATTCATGATTTTCAATTTGTAGATGTATTTCCTAAGTACCTAAGGTGGACTTCACTAAGAAGCATCACAGTTAGATGATTTACATATGGCCCTGTTTTCTTCAATTATCCTTAGGTCTTTAAATAGTTCTGAGTTTCAGCTGTGATTTATTTCAAATTTAATTTTGTAAAAAATCTGGCCTACTATTTATGTAAAACTCTCTTAAGGTGAAGAAAGGGAATGTTTAGAAACTTCTTGTATTGTAGAATGAAATGGGATTAATTGTAGACTTCTGCAGAGTTAAAACTAGTCCAGAGGAAAGGAAAGAAAGGCTAAGCACTTATCAGGAAATTTCAGGGTAACTGTTAATCTATTCTAACTTCTTTGCATGTGCTATAAATTTTCCTTAAAGCAATTAAGATCAAACTGTATTGACACCATATAGTTTTAGGACAGATTAGAAATTAGAGTTGCTTTTCACCTGTGCACACACTGTGTACATCATGACCCTTGCTTCAGAAGACACTCCTGCTGTGTGTTAGCCAGTTGCTCTCCTGCCTCCCACCCCCATAGTGCCAGGCTGGATTTGGGTCATTAACACTTACTGGATGAGGAAGAGATCAAAGAAGATGTGAAATTAAGTAATTAGCTTTGCTAGTTTCTTTTTAAAACAAAGGTGACCAAGAAATTTAGGGTGCCTTAGAAAAGTAAAGAACAGATGTTAAAATACCAATGTAGTTTAGCAATCTATGCTGAGAACTAATTAGAAGGTAGTCAAGTGCTCAGGAGCCTCTCCAACAGAAATCAGCTCTGGCACCAGGCACTCCTTGTCTCCATGGTTGGATTTCTCCAGGTCTCCCAGGCTGGCTACATGTAGAACTGCACTTTGAAAACAAAATCAAGAATCTCTTTTTTCATCATATGTGAGGTTCAAATAAAGGTTTCTATTGTGCAACCAGCTCTGAAAATGTCTTTTCACGATATAAGCCAAAAATAAAAGATAACTAGTTGTGTATTTGTGCTTTAAATTTTTTTTCAAAAGTTTAACTTGAATAAAGAAGATATACATATGAACACGTTTAACTTCGATAAAAATGTATATATGTGTGTGTATATATGACATAACCTCGAGAAACAGAAGATATTGCAGGGGTTCCAAACTCTCTAAATCAAAGTAAGTAGTCACAGAAACTGAAGCGTTCAAGTGCGGTGTGGAATTCTGTCTCTCAGCCCCACCTTAATTTCCTTTCAAAGAAACTTCTGCAGCATTTGCGGTGCTTCCTGTGGCAGAAAAAACTGAAAGAGAAGGAAAGCAGCGGAACACAGGCTTAGAGGTCGCAGAAACAAGAGCCAGATGGTTAATTGAACCATGAAGGTCAAGAGAGAGTCCAAAACACCTTGTGAGATAGATCATTCTAGGGCTCATAGGAGTGAGGAAATCAGTGGTCCACTGAAAATATTTGAGAAGGAACCAGTCACCAGAGAGCCACTTTTGGTAAGTTTAGGAATAAAAGCAAAAGTTGTCTCCCTGAAGATTGCTACGCAATTTGTAGGCCTAAACTGCAGATGAGCGCTCCCAAGCCTGGACTGTCCTTGTTGGAGGGCACAATGCGCCATAGATTTTTATTTCCAGGAAACACACTCCAGAGGCGTGCGGCCTTCCAGACAGCAGCTGGCGCCGGGCAGAGGCATAGCCACCGGCCGGAGCTGCTGGCGACCGCGATGCTCTTGGCTGCGCGTCCCTGGCAGAGCTGGCCGGTCACCACCGAGGCTAAGCTTCCCTGTCTGAGCAGACGCTGTTCCCTTCTGGAAGGGCCGTTGGGACTGGCAACTGGCTGATGCTCCGTGGATTTTAGGGACGCGGAGCTGGCTTGAAGGAAAGGAGGGGGTCGGTTTGGGGGAGAGCTGGCATCTCCTTATAAGTCTTGGTGCCTAAATAGAGTGAGATGATGGCCAAACACAACGTAGGGAGAATGTCTCATTTTGGGTACCCAGGATTTCTGGAAGAGCCAACGATGTGTCCCGCAACTGTCGAACTGGCAGGAGATTGGACTGTATCAATTGCGGTTGGTTCCCACTTCAAGCACACCGCCCCCCAGTGTGATGGTCTGACCAGCTCCCCAGCCTCCAGGTGGGGAGGAAGCCTAGAGATAAAGAATCAAAACTCAGCTTGCCTTTGCTCTCTGCTGGTGGCAAAAGCGCAGCTGGTTGGTCCGGAGCAGGTTGGTATTTGAGGGGGAAACCTGACTGCTTAGCATCTTGGGCTGCGGATTGCTGAAGGTGGGGAGGAAGCGGTTGGGAGTGGAGTTGCGTGGATTATTACTGGAAGACCCTGACTGTGGATACCAGCTGCTTCGCCCCCGCGCAGCTTGGGGAAGAGGGGTGAGGAGGGCGCAGGGGGTGGGGGACGCCCAGCAGCGCAGGGCGCGGGTGGTGGCAGCGGGCTGTCTCTTTAAGCGCTCTGGAGGGGCCAGGGCGGGCGGGCGGCGAGCGCGTTGCCATGGCACCGGGGCTGCGGGGGCTGCAGGGCCGCCGGGCTCTCTGGGCTCCAGTCTTCCCAGGCAGTGCGGGGCTGCACAGCTCCTGGACCATCGCGCCTGGGGTGGCTAGTTCTGTCGCGGTTCGCGCGCGCTAGCGGTCGCCGGTGTCGCCTGCTGGGGTCCAGCTGCTGCCGCGCCCTCCCCAGCGACACGCGCGTCGCGGTCCCCGTGAGCTCGGCTCTTGCAACTTCTGCTCAGAGAACCCAACTTCTGCGCAGGGTGCGGACTTGTGGATCCCGAGCGGCGCAAGGTGCGCAGTTGGGGCGGTGGCCCGGACGCCTTGGCCTCACCAAGATGACCTCAGCACTCTGGGTCTGGTGCTTCTGTGCCTGGACGCTCGCCAACTGGCCGCCAGGAAGCGCCCTGCAGCTCCAGCCGGGCATGTAAGTGGCGCCCGCGTGCTCCGGGATGCGTGGGGACAGCGGACCGCGGCGTCCGTGCGCCCCGCCCCACCCGTGCAACACCACGGAGGGGCATGGGCACTGGGCGTGGAATCTTTGGGAAGTTGTCACCCCCACCATATCGCTTGGGGCTTTCTACCTGATACTTTCTAAGCACTTGACAGATGGATTTCCCCCAAACTTTCTGTGTGCCTGTGCATTGTGTGTGTGTGTGTGTGTGTGTGTGTGTGTGTGTGTGTGTGTATGTTGTGTGTTGTCTTTCATTTAATTTCATGTTTGGAGACTACTTGGTTACTTTCTAAAAGGTTTTTGAACGAAATCTCGAAAAGCGAATTTCTTGACTTTTGTCTTGTTTATAGAAACCACTGTGCACGAGCTCTTTTTTTTTTTCTTCTGGGGAGAGATGATGAAGTCTAAACAATGGGTTATTCCACAGGTCCGATGAAAGAGGCGAAGTGAAGAGCCAGTCTGCAGTAGGTGGAAGACAGGAGAGGCTCCTTCACTGATTTCCTGGGTCTAGCTCTCTTAGAGGTCTAGGAAGATGGAGTTGGAGCGCCCCGCTCAAGGACAGGACAGACTCTTTGTAGCTTACACGTGGTGAAGGCTGGGGAATGTCTGTTCTTAGCACTCTGTGCAGCGCAGCGAGGAGATGGGCGAAGTCTGTGGTGATCGCCAGGTCTCTGACTGGCTGGAGAAGTTTTTCCAGTTTCTGTTGAATCAGCTGCATCCTTAGCCTTGAACAGTCTGCTGCAAAAGCCAGATCAAATTCTGCTTTTCGGTTTGTGCTTTTAAGCAGTTATGAGCAGACAGCATTTAAATGTTTTCACTACTTCACTGTTTCTTTGCTTTTTTTGAAATGCGAATATTTTAAAATAGAAAACTGATTTAGATAACCACAAAAAGCCTTTCATACCTTTCCCAGGCTTCACTTTTTTCTTTATGAAAAATATTGTTTGGGGATTCACCTTACATTTTCATATTTCATCCCTCTCATGCGAAATTCAATTTGCTACCTGGTTACTGCAAATGTCACTAACTATAAATCTTAAGACATGGCAGGGTGTCAGTGGCATCAAATAACTTGTTGCCTACATAGCTGGTATATACACATTTGTCAGAAATGCAAGGAGTTTTTGTTCATTTGGTTTCCCTGGGATTGATAAGATTTGCCTTGTTTATTTTAAAGAGGTAGATTTAGACTTTTCAGATAGTGTGCACATGCAAAATCCTTCCTATCTTAGAAATTGCTTTTGAACAAGCATCCCCAAGGCCTTGACTTTTACCAGTGTCGTTGGTCATTACCCAACCCTGGATTGCTTTATTATGTAATCTCAGAGACACCCATAAACCCTGAGGCTGAACAATCCCATTGGGAAATAACAGAATACTCCATTTTTACATCACTTAGGAGTTTTGACTCCTTTCAGTTTGGACTCTCGTTGAAGAGGCTGGAGTGGTGACATCGCAGATTTTAAAGGGAACTGCTTTTATGCCTCATTTATTTATCAGGTGACATGACAACAGAAATTAAAACGAATATAAATTCATTTTGGAGGGGGTGGTTTGAGATAGGGTCTCCCTGTAGCCAAGATACCCTAGAATTCAGTATGTAGACCAGGCTGGCCTCAATCTCACAGATCTGACTGCCTCTTCCTACTGAGTGCTGGGATTAAAGCCATATGCCACCATGCACGGTACAATATAAATTCTTGAACATTCTATAGAGATGTGTTTTCCAAGGAGATACTGACATTGCTGTGATATACCTTAGTACTCTGAAATCTGGAAGGGGAAAAAATCCAGTGGTATTTGTATTTAGCCCTCCTTGGTGTTAGAGTTTGTTCATCTGGAACCATGCTGGGATCTATTGCTGGGTTTCTTTGTGACTGTTGTAGGCATGTGGAATGTAGCCCTGTATGGCTTACCCACATGTGCTTGTCTGTAAAATGAAAGACAATTCTTTCTGAGCTTGTTATTGACCTCAGAGGTCCATTACCAGTGAGAGCAGCTTCTAATGATGTAAAGACTACTAATGAAAGCTGGCCATCTTACTGACCGGCCCTTACAGGTCATTAATGCAGGAAGGAGTTTTATGTAGCAGATTTTGTATTTGAGTGGATTTTGTGAGCTAGAGGACCAAGGGAAAACAGGACTGACTGAGCAGCTAACCGAGTCAGATTTATGATATATGCTATATTTATGATGTATTTCTTAGACAATAAACTGATTTTCAAAAGAAATTTTGCTAACGAGTCAAAAGAGGTATGACATGGGTTTTCCAATTCTCATGATGATTGATATGTCTGATGATCTTGTTTTATCACATTTCAGAAACCTTGGATAACTAATGTGAGGCAGATTCATTAGCTCCGTACTCCATGAAGAGTGCATAAGTACTATGAAAGTAGCTATTGCAAAGTACACCCAGCAGTAAATCCTTTTGGAGTCTTACTTAGATGTCAGACAAATCTCAAATACTTTACATGTACTAGCCCTGTGAGTGGGCCATGATCTCATACCCATTGTATGAGGAAGATCCACAGCTGAATTGAAGTTTGCACTGCAAGATCTGAACCTGATCTGAGTGGTCTCATTCCAGAGTTGGAGTTCTCTCTCTCTCTCTCTCTCTCTCTCTGCTTTTTGACACAGGGTTTCATGTACTTCATGCTAGACTTGAATTCACTATGTAGCTGAAGATGTTGTTGAACTCCTGCCTCAACCTCTAAAGTATTGGGTTTACAATTAGGCATGTACTGCCTCACGTAGTTCCAGAGTTGGGGTTTTAACATGTGTCTGGTTTCAGAACAACCAAGCCAATTTTTTTTTTAAAATTACCTCCAAATCTTCTCAATGAGCGTAAAGCTGGTATCTTTAATCTAGTGGATGTTATGATACTTCTGGGTTGAAATAACCTGAGTTTTAGTGGCATTCCAGGTTTCACTGGAATGTTAATTGCCCTGTAATGGTAGGCTAGCCCTTCACCAGGAAGTTCTGACTTTCCTCTGCCGCATGAAGATGATTCATAAGAAATTCAATCTGCTGATTGATGATGGCCTCATGGATTTAAAAAAAAAAAAGACTATCCTGTGCTATAGCCTAGGTTGACCCTGAACTCCCAGTTATCCTCCTGCCTCAGCCTCATGAGTTCTGGAATCACAGGCATGAGCACCTGGTGGTGGCATTTTGATAAGGGGAAACTGACAGGTTTACTTACATTCATGGCACTTTGTAAATGTTTTTCACAAGATTACATCAGGGATCTTTGAGGTATCAAAGGACAATGTCTAGCTATTGCGCAGTCTGCTAAAATGTAACTTTGTGATGCTCTCTTGTAAATACACAATAAGGAGGTGAAAAATAGTGACCCTGGAAGCACTGTAGATATCCATCCCACCAGACAAAAAGACAAAGCCTCCTTTTCAGACCTGGAATTTCTCTGATACCTGGGGGGAACTGTAAGAAGGCACAGTCAATATGTGGCTCAGTAGTCTCATAAAAAGTGTGAGACATCTCACATCTGTCCTCTAGGGTATCTGATATAGGCAGCTCTGGCACACAAATTGAAAATATGCCAGTTATATTTTTAGTCTACCTGGGTTAGATCTTTTTTTTTTTTTTTCTGTGATACTTGATCTAAATCATTTAAAGGCAGAAGAGTTTATTTTGGTTCATTGTTCCAGAGGGTTCAGTCCATAATTGTTTGGCTCTGTCATTTCTGGCCTGTGATGAGGCAGAACTCTATGGCAGATGCATATGGAGGAGTAACGTTCCCCTCCTCAGGGCAGACAAAGAAGCAGAAAGTGACAGAAGGGCCTGAGGACATGCTCTACCTTTCAGAGTATGCCTTACTCTCTCTAAGTAGGTCCCACCGCAAGTTTCTATCGCCTCCCAACAAGGCCAGCATATTTGTATTCTATCAGGATTTATCTATTGACTACATCACTGCCCCCAGGATCCAGTCACCACTGAACACTGCATTTAACACAAGCCTTCTGTGAGACTACTTCATGCACAAACCACATTAGCATCTTTCATTACAAACATGCAGGAATGTGGTTCAGCTTCTATGTCAGATGTGGAAACCCAGGGGCAGAACAGAAGTGGTAGGGAAATCCAGGAACTTAGAAGCCCATTCAGATATGGAATTTCATATCTGAGGAGCTATGGGATCTTTGTCTTGAGAGCCCTGTTCCTATTTACCATGCTCCCTTGACTTCTCTATTCACTCTGCTTAAACTACCACCAACTGTGTTTTTTGTTTTTATTTAATCTGAGCCTGTTTACTTATATTTAGTAGTAGGTATTCTTTTCCCATTCCCACACAGGACTCAAATATTTGTCTTGTAGTTTTAACAAACTATATTTTATTGATATTGATATTATGCATATTTTTATATAGTTTCTGTCCTCTGTTTCAATATTTACCTTCCTTTCTTTATTTCTTCTGTCTCTAATAGGAATAAATTTCCACTCTTGTTTAAGGTAAACCTTTCCTTGCTTTTACAGATGCCACCTGGTATATATTTTTCCCAAATAGCCCCAATTGGTGTTGAATACTGTATGTAGACCAGGCTGGCCTCGAACTCACAGAGATCCCCCTGCCTCTGTCTCTGGTGTTAGGATTAAAGGCATGTGCCACGATGCCTTGCCCTAGTTCCAGCTCTTTTACTGGTGCTTTTATTTACTTTCCCCAGTTTCCCTTTACAAATCTTTTCTTAGTGTCTCTATGGTCTGTCTTGCCTCTTTGTAGATATGTCTGTCTTGCTTCTTCCTTTACCTTCAGTTTCCCAACACTAGCTCATTAATGCTTCTTTCCCTCCTTCTCTCCCTCCTTCCCTCCCTCCCTCCCTCCCTCCCTCCTTTCCTTTGTGTGGATGTATGTATGTGCATGAATGTGGAAGCTATACATAACCTCAGGTATTTTCTTCTATCACTCTCCACCTTAATTTGAGTAAGTATTGTGCATAATGTTACAATTGCTG